CATTTATTTATTCACAGTTGGATTGCATTTGTGATCAAAATAAATGTCTAATATCTTTAAAAGAAAATATAATAAATGCTTAGAAGATGAAGGACCACGGAGCAAACAACAGTGAGACGTGACCATCATTTCTTTGGGGGTTTCTCTGCCTGGTTTTGTGTGTTCTGTCAGTCAAACGATAAAAAACTCCTGGAATTCGCTCTTTCTTTTAAGACAAGTTGTAGAGTTCTACTTTTCAACCTCGAATACTTCAGATAATGCAAATTGTGTTGAAAATTGCATGTTTTATAGTTAGGCTCTCATCTCACTTGAAGTAAATTATGTATGAGAAGAATTATGCAGAATTAACACGGATCGTCTCACAGTAGATACTGTGTGGATTGAAGGCTGAGATAAAATATCCTTTACTTTGAAAGTAAAATATGCGATTTTTTGGTTTTGAAGATGTCAGATGTAAAACTTTCTTTACCTTTGAGGCTCCTGTGTCTTGATTGTTGTTTTTTTTTATATAAAGATTTTTATTTATTTAGAGCGGGGTTGGGGGGATGGGGTGAGGAGCAGAAGGAGAGAGAGAATCCCAAGTCGAATCCACGCTGAACATGAAGCCCGACTTGGAGCTCGATCCCAGGACCCTGAGATCATGGCCCAAGCTGATATCAAGAGACGCTCAACTGACTGAGTCACCCAGGTGCCCCTCCTGTGTCTTGATTCTTGATAATCAGCAGCCTCACCAAAAAACAACTTCCTTCCAATTCTACCTAATTCTATACAAGAAGAATTCATGTAGGGTATAGTAGCCCTGGAAAAGTTCGGTGTTTACTGTGTGCTTGAAAATAAAATGTATGCTGGTTTTAATGTGTTCCAAGTCCCCTGAAGCTAATCTTCATAAAGGGTGTATTTTGGGGTCTGATTGAGCCTGGAAAATGGATTAGCATTTCAGAATAGGCCATTTTACTGTTAATATTGGAAATGACATGTGGCCTTACAGAAGGCATGATGCTGTTACTCATTTTCCTACATCTGTGCGAGATGGAGAACAAAGCCGTGTGGCTATGGCGAACACATAGTTTTCTTTTGGCCCAATGCCATACACATAGTAAGCATTTAATTACGAATTGTGGTTTCATCTTTTTTCTGCTTGGTAGGATATATATAAAATAACTGTTTATCATTTTAACCATTTTTTTTAAATTAATTTATTTATTTGACAGACAGAGATCACAAGTAGGCAGAGAGGCAGGCAGAGAGAGAGGAGGAAGCAGGCTTCCGGCTGAGCAGAAAGTCCGATGCGGGGCTTGATCCCAGGACCCTGGGATCTTGACCTGAGCTGAAGGCAGAGGCTTTAACCCACTGAGCCACCCAGGCGCCCCCATTTTAACCATTTGTAAGTGTAGAGTTCACTGGCATTTAAATATAGTCCAGTATTGCATAATCATCACAATTATGTATATCCAAAACTTCTCATTATCACCAACATCAGTTCTGTACCCATTGAACAATAACTTCCCATCCCTGTGCCTCCCCCTGTCCCCGTAACCACAGTGCTACTTCCTGTCTCTGAACAAGCCTATGAGGTACCTCTATAAGTGGAATCATACAGTGTTTGTCCTTTGTCTTATTTCATTTAGCATAGTGTTTGAAGGTCCATCTGGTTTTTCTTTTTGAAGATTTTATTTATTTATTTGAGAGAACGAGTGGGAGGAGGGGCAGAAGGAGAAGAAGCAGACTCCCCGCAGAGCTGGGAGCCCAGCACAGGACTTCATCCCAGGACCCTGGGAGTGTGACCCGAGCGGAAGGCAGATCCTTAACTGACTGAGCCACCCAGGCGTCCCGAGGCTCCATCTATTTTGTCACATATACCAAAATTTCATTTCTTTTAATAGCTGATTAAATATTCCACTGTATGTATATACCACATTTTATTTATACATTCATCCACTGACGGATACTTGGGTCACTTTCACCTTTTGACTATTGTGAAGAATGCTGCTGTGAGCGTGGGTTAGTCCCTGCTTGCATCCCTGCTTACTCTTCTTTAGGATACGTACCTGGGAGCAGATACTGGGGCTTGTGGTAGTTCTATGTTTAACTTCATGAGGAACCGCCAAATTTCTCCACAGCAGCTGCACCATTTTATGCTCCCCCAGCAGTGCACAAGGGCTCCAATTTCTCCACATCCTCCCTTACCCCAATTATTTTCCTTTTCAAAAAAAATTATAGTCATTCTAGTAAGTGTAAGGTGTTATCTCATGGGTTTGATTTACATTCTAGTGACGGGGGCATCTGGGTGGCTCAGTGGGTTAAAGCCTCTGCCTTCGGCTCAGGTCATGATCCCAGAGTCCTGGGATCAAGCCCCATATTGGGCTCTGCTCAATGGGGAGCCTGCTTCCTCCTCTCTGCCAGCCTCTCTGCCTACTTGTGACCTCTGTCTGTCAAATAAAAAAAAAATAAAAATAATTCTCCTAATGACAAATGATACTGTGCTTATTGGCCATTTGTGTGTCATCTTTGGAGATTTGTTCTTAAGTCTAGAACTCTAACTTTCAGCCACAAACACAAGGCTGCTCTTCTATTGGAAGAGCAGTTCAAAGCTGAGAAAATGTTTAATTGCATACAGTTCTCAAGATCTGAATTTCTTCTCTTAAATGGTATATCAGTTTGGAAAGTAAGTTCCTTTCTTATGAGTTCTGATTCTTTAAAGATTGGGTATTATGATGTTGGCATGTTTTTGCCATTTTACTTTTTTTATTTTTAAAAAATATTTTTTTTAATTCTATTTATTTATGAGAGAGAGAGAGAGAGAGCACAAGCACAGGCAGACAGAATGGCAGAGGGAGAAGCAGGCTCCCTGCAGAGCAAGGAGCCCGATGTGGGACTTGATCCCAGGACGCTGGGATCATGACCTGAGCCGAAGGCAGCTGCTTAACCAACTGAGCCACCCAGGCGTCCCTAAAAAATATTTTTTTTATTTATCTGACAGAGATCACAAGTAGGCAGGCAGAGAGGGAGAGGAGGAAGCGGGCTCCCCGCTGAGCAGAGAGCCTGATACAGGGCTTGATCCCAGGACCCTGGGATCATGACCTGAGCCGAAGGCAGAGGTTTTAGCCCACTGAGCCACTCAGGCCCCCGGTGTTTTTGCCATTTTATTGGTTAACTCTGGTATCTTAAACTCAGCATATCTGAAGCAATCCTTGGTTACAGATGAGATTTCTGGAATTAGGAGTAGAGTAGAAGAGAAAAAGCTTGAAAAAGATGGAAAACCAGTTCTTTTTTAATGGTATTTGAATTACTATTTTTAGAATGGGGAGGGGCAGAGGGAGAATCTTAAGCTGGTTCCACACCCAACACAGAGCTCAATGCAGGGCCTGATCTCACGACCTGGAGATCGTGACCTGAGCAGAAATCAGGGGTTGGACACTTAACTGACTGAGCTATCCAGGCGCCCCAAAGAGAATTTTAAATTTCCACCATATGCAGGACACTTGATAGAATGAAACCTTGCGGGGTGCCTGGGTGGCTCAGTGGGTTAAGCCTCTGCCTTCGGCTCAGGTTATGATCTCAGCATCCTGGGATGGAGCCCGGAGTCGGGCTCTCTGCTCAGTGGGGAGCCTGCGTCCCTCTCTCTCTCTGCCTGCCTCTCTGCCTGCTTGTGATCTCCCTGTCAAATAAATAAAATCTTTAAAAAAAAAAAAAAAAAACCACCTTGCCAGCATGTTTCCCAGGCTTCCTGCCTCTCCTACTCGGTTGATGTTCTCCGTACGGTTTACATCCTGCAGTTAGGAGAGGCTTCGCTCTTTTTTTTTTTTTTTTTCCCTTCAAGATTTTATGTATTTGACAGAGAGAGATAGATCACAAGTAGGAAGAGAGGCAGGCGGAGAGAGGGGGAAGCAGACTCCCTACTGAGCAGAGAGCTTGATGCCAGGACCCTGAGATCATGACCTGAGCTGAAGGCAGAGGCTAACACTGAGCCGCCCAGGTGAGGCTTTGCTCTTACGGAAGGGCTTTCTACCTTTAATGCTAGAGCCAGCTTGCAGGCGGTGGTTCAGACTTACCTAGAGATGGGAGCTAGAGGAAGAAGGTGGAAAAGGGGGAAAACCAACTATTCCTTTATGTTTCTTCTGGAAACCCTGTGGAGCATGTGTGCTGTCCTGGCACAGATGTTTTCACAGGTGGTTTTTTCTTCTTTTTTTTTTTTTAAACGATTTTATTTGACAGAGACACAGTGAGAGAGGGAAACAAGCAGGGGGAGTGGGAGAGGGAGAAGCAGACTTTCCACTGAGCAGGGAGCCCCATGTGGGGCCAGTCCCAGGACCCTGAGATCATGACCTGAGCTGAAGGCAGACACTTAACGACTGAGCCACCCAGGCGCCCCTTCACAGGTGTTTCATAACAACCAGGAGCTTCTGTGCTGTTTCCTCTGCCTGCCCTCATCTTTGCTGGGTCATTCCTGGTAGTCTTCGAAGACCCAGCTCAGATGGCTTCTCTGTAGCCGACCGGGAGTGCTTGGACTGAGCCAGGTCTTCTTTGCCCATCTGTCATCACACCAGCACAGCAGGAGGTGATTGTCACCGGAGTTTTACAGGGAACACCCATACACCTGCCGCCTAGTTTCTGTTATTTTTTTTCCAAGTTTAGCAAATAAGAGAAAAGGTGGTTTAGATTTTAATAAATGTCTTCTTAAAAACTGACTTGAAGTTTGTAATAAGTATTTTTTTTTTTAAAGATTTTATTCATTTATTTGACAGACAGAGATCACAAGCAGGCAGAGAGGCAGGCAGAGAGAGAGGAGGAAGCAGGCTCCCCGCAGAGCAGAGAGTCCGATGCGGGGCTCGATCCCAGGACCCTGAGATCACGACCTGAACCGAAGGCAGAGGCTTTAACCCACTGAGCCACCCAGGCGCCCCTGTAATAAGTATTTTTAAAACTAATTTTTGGTATACTAAAATAGAGCCCAGAATATGAAAGCTAAAATAAGCAAATTGTTTTAACAAATAATTGGAGGAACAAGCAGACAGGAGGTTTTTCCTAGGTCTTTCCTGGAATAGTGGAGTGAGTTGCTCAGTTTCAAGGTTGAAATGCCCATCTGAAAGATCCCATCTGCTTCTGTTTTTGATGAGCGTCTGACACTTGGTGTGAAATTGGCACGTAATCATTTCTGAGTCAGGAGATTGGAAGACGTGTCTGCATCTACCATTGAAAGTGCATCTGTTTTCGTATATGAAATGTCTGCAAACTCTGAAAGCATGGGCATAGCTCCACCCTGTGGTATGTTCGTTTGGGTTAAAGCTGTCTAAATTCTGTCTGTTATGGGTCAGCAAGCTACATGTAGCTTATGTGTGTAAATAGCTCGTTGGAACACAGACACATCCTTTCATGTATGTGCTGTCTGTGGCTGCTTTCTTCTTTTAAGCATTTTTCTTTTTTTAAATTTATTTATTTGACAGAGATCACAAGAGAGGCAGGCAGAGATAGAGGGGGAAGCAGGCTCCCTGCTGAGCAGAGAGCCCGATTTGGGGCTCGATCCCAGACCTGAGCCGAAGGCAGAGGCTTTAACCCACTGAGCCACCCAGGCGCCCCTTTGGCTGCTTTCTTGCTACAATAGCAGACTAGGGTAGTTGTAAGAAAGACTGGCCTACAACCAGCACAGGAGAAGCAGGATTGAGTCTCAGTAGATGTTGAAATTGGATTTGAGGACAGGAATACATTTTATAATAGGTACGTGTTAAATATTGAGTGAATGAATTAATTATAAGCAGATGTGTCTGTACCCAATTTAAAAGTCTGAAACGTTTTAAAGAAGTTATAAGCTATTTCAGGCATACAAACTTAATTTTAAAAATATCCATGTACCACATAGCCGAAGAAAGAAACCTGCCTCAAACAGTTAAAGCCTCTTGAGCATAGCTCCTGGATTTCATTCACCTGCCTCTGCACAAGAATTAGCTGTGATCCTGAATTTGATTCTTTGCATTGCCAAGTATCTATGTTTGTATGTATGTATTTAAGATTTTATTTATTAGAGCACAAGCTGGGGGTAGGAAGGTGGCAAAGGGAGAAGGAGAAGCAGGCTCCCCACTGAGCAGGAAGCCCTTTGTGGGCCTCGATCCCAAGACAGTGGGATCATGACCTGAGCTGAAGATAGATGCTTAACTGACTGAGCCACCCAGGCGCCCCACCATGTATGTATGTATGAATGTATGTATTTATTTATAAAACGATTTTATTTCAGAGAGAAAAGGATCACGAGTGCAAGCATGAGCGGGTAGAGGGGGAGGTGCAGAGGGAGAAGCAGACACCCTGCTGAGCAGGGAGCCCAATGCGGGGCTCAATCCTAGGACCCTGGGAATATGGCCTGAGCCAAAGGCAGACACTTAACCAACTGAGCCACCCAGGCATCTCTTATTTTTTTTTTTTTAAGATTTTATTTATTTATTTGACAGTGAGAGATCACAAGTAGAGAGGCAGGCAGAGAGAGAGGGGGGAAGCAGGCTCCCCGCTGAGCAGAGAGAACCTGATGTGGGGCTCGATCCCAGGACCCTGAGACCATGACCTGAGCCGAAGGCAGAGGCTTTAACCCACTGAGCCACCCAGGTGCCCCGCACCTCTTATTTTTAATTGGCCATTTTAATTTGAGATAATTTTAGATTTACAGAAAAATTGCAAAAATAGTTTCAGTATACCTTTTAGGCAGCTTTGCTTTATGTTAGCATCTTGCATAACCATAAAATAATGATCAAAACTAAGACATTCATGTTGCTTATATTAACTAAATTACAGACTTAATTTGAATCTCTGAGTTTTTCCTGTAATACCCTTTTCCTGTTTCACGATCAAATACACAATCCCAAATTCTATTAGTTGTCAAGTCTCCTTAATCTCTTGCAATTTGTGACAATATCTCAGTCTTTCCTTGTTTGTGACCTTTGATACTTTTGAGGAGTAATAGTCTGTTATTTTGAAGGAACCCCAGTTTGGGTTTGTCCAGTGCTTTCTCAAAGTTCTGCATTATTGGGGCACCTGGGTGGCTCAGTGGGTTAAAGCCTCTGCCTTCGGCTCAGGTCATGATCCCAGGGTCCTGGGATCGAGCCCCACATCGGGCTCTCTGCTCAGTGGGAAGCCTGCTTCCTCCTCTCTCTCTCTCTGCCTGCCTCTCTGCCTACTTGTGATCTGTCAAATAAATAAATAAAAATCTTAAAAAAAAAAAAAAGTTCTGCATTATTGGAAAGGACAACACACAGATCTGCCCTTCTCAGTATATCATATCGGGGGTAGGTGATGTCTATACTTATTACTGGTGATGTTGACCTTGATCACTTGATTAAGGTGGTATCTGCTGGCTTCCTTCACTGTAAAATTACCATTTTTCCCTTTGCAATAAATATCTGGGGGGGGGATACTTTGTATATGTCATGTTTTGCAAATGTCATTTTTTTTTAAGCATTTGCCCACTAACTTTGCCATGTAGTAGTGATTTTCTGCTTTTCTCTTACCTTCCACATATCTTAATTGGAAGTCTGCTGTAAGAGCTGCCTCTTTTCTCTCATTTATTTGTCTATTTATTTAGTTATTTATGTTAGTATAGATTCATGGGTCTTATTTGGGGGCTATAATGCAGTATTATTATTTTTTTGCTGAGGTTGTTCTAACTTTGGCCCTTGGGAGCTCTTTCATGTTGGCTCCTAGGCCCTTTGAACATTGATTTTTGTTTTTTGTTTGTTTGTTTGTTAGTCCTTAATTACTTCCTAGCACTACAAGATGCTCCAGGTTCATCTTCTGTTTCCTTGCCCAAGCCCTGGAATTAACCTTTTTTTCCCAGGAGAAAAAAAGTTCCTTTCACTGGATAATGGTATTTAGAAACCAAACTTCTGGTTGGTAGGTGTGCTCATTGCTACTTGGATGTTACTGCTGTTAGTTTCTTTCAGAGCAAAAAAGCTAGGAAATGTATGAAGTATACTAACCAATGCACATTGCACATCTTTATTTCACATCCATAAAACAAAAACCGTGAGTCTTTCCAACTACAGTCCAGCATCATAGGATTCATTCTAGCCTTCTCTCTGTATTTCTAACAGCAAGAAACCTGACTCTTATTATCCACAATAACTTGCTTATTCAATCCTAGCTACATAGAAAGTGATTTCAGAATGGCTTAACCAATACCTCTGTGAGAAACAAATTTGCCAACTAGAGTGCAGCATTTGTTCAGAGTTCTTTTTAGTGTTCAGTATTTATTCAAGACATTTTCCAAAGCTATTTAGGTCCACTTCTTTCTTACCCACCTTCTTCAGTGTGGCCATGTGATTCATTGGTAATATAGTCATATTTGCTGTAGTATGCGTTCCATCTTTCACATCCTGGTGGATTTTTTGTTTGTTTTAAATTTACATTCAGTAGAATTCACTCTTTGTGGTGTGCAGTTCTGTGGTTTTGACAAATGTTGACAGGTATCGACTGCCACAGTTTGACATACGACAGTTACATCATCCCCAAATTTTCTCATGCTGTCCTTTTGTTGTTAAGCATTCCCTCTAACCCATGGCAACTGCTCATATGTTTTCTGTCTCTGAGTTTTTCTTTTCAAGAGTTTCGTATAAATGGAATTCTACAATATGTAGTTCTTTGGGTCTGGTTTCTTTCATTTACTGAAGGGCACTGAAGATTTGTCCATGATGGGTGAATCAAGTTTGCTCCTTTTTATCGCTGAGTAGTATTCCATTGTGCAGGTGTACCATTGTTCATTTATTTACTAGCTGAAGGACATTGGGTGGTTTCCTTGTTTTTAGTGATTATGAATAAAAGTGCTGTAAACATTTGCTTACTGATTTTTATGTGAACATGTTTTCATTCTTTTGGTAAACACCTAGGATTACTTGGTCATAAGGTAGGTATATATTTAAATTTACAAGAAATTCCCAAAATGTTTTCCAAACTGACTACCATTTTGTTTTGTTTTCTTTTGTTTAAAGATTTTATTTATTTATTTGACAGAGATCACAAGTAGGCAGAGAGAGAGAAGGAGAGAGAGAGAGGGGGAAGCAGGCTCCCTGCTGAGCAGAGAGCCCAATGTGGGGCTCCATCCCAGGACCCTGAGATCATGACTTGAGCCGAAGGCAGTGGGCATAACCCACTGAGCCACCCAGGCGCCCCCTGACTACCATTTTGTACATGCACCAGGAACATAGGAGAGTTCTGGTCGTTCTGCATCCTCACCAGCCCTTGGCAGTACCAATTTTTGTTCTTGTTTTTTCAGTTTAGCAGTTCTATGTACATCTTGTTTTAATTTGCATTTCTCTCATGACAAAGGTGTCGGGCAGCTTTTTGTATGTTTATTTGCCATCTTTGTATCTTTTTAGAAAAGTGGTTCAAATCTCCACCTATTATTTTTCCTATTATTTGGTTTTGAGTGTTCTTTCTATATTGTGGATACAAGCCCTTTGTCAGACATTGTATTTGTAAGTGTTTTTTGCACCTTTGTCAAAAATTAGTTGTGTGGATCTGTTTCTGGTTTCTCTGTTCTGTTCCATTCTTCTACGTCTCTACCTTCCACTGGTATTACACAGCAGCTTTATATTAAGTTTAGAAATTGGATAGTGTGAGTCCCCCAGCTTTGTTCATCTTTCTCAAAATTGCTTTGGCTATTCTAGTTCTTTTACTTATCCCTATACATTTTACAGTGAGCTTGTTGATATCTACAAAAACCCCTGCTGGAATGTTTATTGGGATTGAGTTTCATTAGTGTTCTATAATTTTAAGCGTACAGATCCTGCATAGATTTTGTTAGATTTAAACCTAACCATTTGGGGGGAGGGGGTTAGGGAGAAGTTGGGGGGCTTATGGACATTGGAGAAGGTGTGTGCTGTGAAGTGTGTAAACCTGGCAATTCACAGACCTGTACCCTTGGGGCTAATAATACATTATATGTTAGTAAAAACATTTTTTTTAAAAACCTAACCATTTCATTTTGGGAATGTTATTTAAATGGTATTGTTTTTAAAATTTCAAATTCCATCATTCATTACTAGCAGTAGAAATACAGTTGATTTTTATGTACTGACCTTGTATCCTATAAACATGATGAACTGTTAGTAGTTCTAGATCCTTTTTGTAGATTCTTTGAGATTTTTTCTGTAAACAGTCATGTTGTCTGGAATAGAA